AGCCTGCAACTAGAGTTTTCCCTGTGCCAGTTGGTGCCACAAATATGTAATTTTCTCCCTGGAGACCTGGAGCAGCCAACTCCTCTTGGTATCCCCTCAGTTTTATGTCTTTTCCTACACTTAGATTCATGGCTGGCTGTGCTTGGGGTGTGACTGGGCTGGGCTGTGATGCATCCATTGGCACTGGGTTACGTTGGTAGACATGTGTTTCTTCATTTTCTGGCATGGAATGCTTGGTTTCATTTTGGACTGTGAAATGTGACCAAGGGAGCATTTTGGGGGTGGGAATGGTAGAAGGTTCTTCGATTGTTTGCCATGTCACTGTGTTCCCCTGTGGACCTGAGTCATCCAATTTGATTTTTTTAGCCTGCAAGCTGAGATCATTGGGCACATTTTGACCTCCTGCTTCTCTGTATGTGACTTTGTGAGTTTTCATTGATGACCTGCCCATAGGTACCAATGAATTAGCTTCAGTTTCAGTCGCAGTCAAGGATTTGGTTTCATTTCCTATTTGGATCGCCTGTCGTGAAGCTGTTTGGCTTGTAATGGAGCAATCCTTCACTGATACGCTGAACGGCGTTGGCGGGGGTACATTACACCGCGCTTCCCGTTGGGGGTCCGAGTCACAGTCAGAGTAGCGCGTGTCTGGGCATGGGTGGGGAGTGCAGGCTACTTTATTCCGTCTTATTTGTTCGGCGAGACTACTGTGTCCGACTGAACGAGCCAACAAGACCTCGCATAAAGCGCCCCACGTACAATCCTTACCAATATCAAGCCATTTCAGAATCATGCTCTGAAATTTATCGTCGACGTCATCCTCGTTCTGGTCGATAACCTGTAAATCGGACGCTTTGATCTTGAGCCCCAGTCCAATGTTCCTCCACTTGGACCTTGCATCCCACAATTCTTCTTGAATCTTGAGCAAATCATCTTTTTTCAGAACTCCGTCTCGACCCGCCGCCATCCCTATGAACGGTCACTAACGCTCCCGCTATAGTTTCCCTGGGAAAGTCCGTGGTATGGAAAATTACTATCACACGCATGCGCATGTACGCAGAAGAGGTGATTGGTAGTGCAGGGCCTTCAACCAAAGTAGCTTTCTTTCGTAGTCAGTTGTGTATCCTGGCTCTCCCTTTACTGCTGATTGAGTAATTCCATTGGTACACATTCTGGTGGCGGAAGACTAACGGTATTTCCGTGGAAACTTCCTGGTATGAAGGCCCAAGTCCAGCACTGGTCCTCCCAACCCTAGTCATTTCATACTCTCCTTCACAATCAACAGACAGGGTCTCAGTGTAGATGGAGTCATTAGCAGGACACTGCTGGTGGGCAGACATCATCACACTGCCATACCAAATCTCATAGTCCACCAGCCACTCTCTCAGGTCCTCCGACCTTATCCCATCCCCACTCTACACTGGCATTGGTGGGTGGCTAGTAACATTTGGAGGGGGGCTCTGTGGAGCTATGTGAAAGAGAGATTGACCCATAAATAGACTGAGAGAGGAAGTGAACTTACTTCCTTCCTGTGAATACAGTCTTACTTGAACTGGGTCTCCAAACCCCACAGCAGTGGAGGCCTTCACCAAAGCCATGTATCTTATTACAATCACATTTGTGTAAGTATATGGAGGGGGTAGAGTGTCTGATAGTAAATCCGATGTGTAGGTATAGTTAAGACAGCAATTGAGTTAAATTCATGTGCAATAGGAGCCCCTAGCATTGTGGCGTATATAGGAAAGGCGCTATGTAAAGGACTTCCACCTAGTGTGTTACTAATGTTGCTCTACACAAACCTTCAATTATTCAAAAACATGGCTCCAAAAAAAGAGGCTGTGTGCCGATGCATTGTTATACGCCCTTGCTAGTTGTGTACCTTTTGAAGCTGGTGTGCTTAAGTATGTGTTTATATATATCAGTGTCCGGTTATCAGTGGCGTAAGCTATTCTGTCTTTGAACATCAACTTTCAACATCTGTCTTGTCGAAAATGTTTGCATAAACGAAGCGGAATATACATAACTGGTATGTAATGACGGAGACAGGTGTGATACAGTCAAACCACACAGAGAAAACAAGCAGGATTTGGTGCATTGTCTTTCAGTAAAGAGCATCATGAGCTATAGCTACAACGTTTTGTTGAGGCTTTGCCACATGTGGATTAAAGTGAGCTATCAAATGAAGAGGGAGTTACATTTTAAGCATCAACAACAGAACATAGGGATGAGAGTGGAGTGGAACTTACTAATCCCTCTATCAATTATCAGTCGGTTCAAGTGAGGTGGAACTTTATTGGAGGTTGTCTTTGTACGGTTTATGACCAAGACTTGGTATCCAGTGAGGTCTCCATTAGGGTATGTTGGAGGATCCCACGACACATCGAGAGTATTGACATCTACAACAGTCACATTCACATATTCTACTGGACCTGGAACTAAAGTGCATGTATAAAAACCATGGAAAAGTTAATGTACAATACAGGCGAATATTATACCTGTCTCGTGAGTGGTGACACTAAGAGGAGCTGTTATTGGTCCTTTTCCAACCGTAGTGCAGGGAGAGAGCGTCCGGTTTATTACAGCTACGGATATTCACTGGTGCAAAAATCACCTCTGCGGACTAGCTATAAATTTTCGTGGTCGCAGTTGGAAGGCAGAACTGTCCGCGAAATACTGCGCTTGGCGTAAGCACATTGTGCACACGTATATAAAAAATTAATAGTGCCTGACAAACATTTTCTCTTGTATACTTGGTATATAATGTTGAATGAAATGCACACAAAAGGGATGTATGGCACACAGTTGTGTTTTTTAGGGATCCTGAGTGACATCATCTTCAACTCAGCCAATCCTGGATACTCTGGACTCCAAACCAAATGTCCTTGCACTCTTGAACCTCTTAGTGGACTCGCCGTACTTGAAGAGAAAGCCTCTCGACTTCAAAACTGGAAACTTGTACCTGTATCCCCCACACTGCGATTACCCCCATTTGGCTCCTGCAGTGGGCGAGCGACAGTATATTCTGTAGGGTTTAACGAAATCGTATAGAGCGTCTGGCTTGTCGTGCTCCTTCTTGTCATAACATTGCTGCTGAAGTCTTTACTAGCACCACATGGTGACGTTTTCATCACCACTGAGAGTGTAGGAAAACACATCGGACCTCTGCAGGCGACCACTTTGCATTTCTTGCAGCGAACTTCGACTTTATCTGTGTCTGACCACTTGCTCCTGAGGGACTGCAGTAGGTGTGCTTTACGATCTCTCTCTTGAATGAAAGACTTCTGCTTTGAAGGAATAACATCTTTTAATGGCTGATCTTTCAGCTTGGTGAGAGAAGCTTCAACCAGACGCTGCTTTTCTTCCGCGACCAGGTACCGGTAGTCCTTGTTTGAGTTGGTGGAGACTACGGTGTATATTCTGCTATCCTGTGCCCTTGCCCTTCCCTTTGCCTGAACCTGAGCAATCTCGTTGGACACATTCTGATAGCGGATGACAAAGTTACACTCTGGAACGTCTAGTCCTTCCTCCAGAACTGAGGTAGAAGCCAGGAGATTGTATTTGCCTTGGCGGAACCCCTCTAGAACTCGAAGCTGCTCAGATTTTTCCATTCCTCCTGCACGGTTGTAGCCAGTGATGTGAGTAGCTTGGATAGTGGGGGAGAGAGTCGGTGAGCTCTTGATCCAATTTGTGACGTATCTCGTGTGTTTGATTGATCGAACAAAGAAGATTCCTTTTGATTGAGGACACCTAGCAAACTGATCACGGAGAATGGTTTCCATGTGCTCCAGTAATGGGTTTGGTGTCTTGGGTAAACGAGACAGTTTTTCCATCAAGTCTGTGTGAACGCCGAAGAGGAAACGTTCAAAATCTGTTTGATCTCTGAATTCCTCGACTTCTTCAAGCACTGACACTGCATCTTCATGTCGGAAATCACTGTAGGTCATGAGGCATTGGGAGTAGACACTCAGTCTATCGAGAACTGAAATCCTTTTTCTTTCATCTTCCTCCCTGTTCTCTGCTGCTTCTTTCTCGTTTTGTAGGCATGTGTCGTATCCTGATGAGCCCCTTGCAAGGCAAGGATTGTTGCCTATGTAATGCTCGAGTGTTTCCATAGCTGAGCAGACATGCAGAATGAACGGATCATTTGGACTTCGCTCATCGCCAACTTCAAGATATTTCCTTGGAGAATTTCGATATTTTTCAAGCTCAGCAGCATTTCTTTGAACGGTAACAATACCAGATGTGGCATCCATACTTGCACATAGGGAGAGCTGGTGTTCTATGACGGTGAAAATGTTAGATTTCCCTCTCCCTGCGCCAGGAGAAGCTGTCAACCCGACAATTTGAGGAAGCAGTGTGCCACGAAGGTTTGGGGGCAAGGTGGATGCTGGCTTTGCAAGCTTAGACCTGATGTAAAATTCCATGATGTCACTGTAATTGGAGGGGCGGCCCAGCATGATGGCATTCGTCAGCAACAATGAGGGAAAAATCGGTAATTTCGATGGCTTTTGTTTTGAGCTCTCTCCGTAGCTTTCCAGCCGTGCACACAATCACATCAACTTCATCGCCCTGAACTAGTGGATGCATTGGTCGACAAACTCGCCCCTGTAATTTCAATCACTCTCGTGCCAGGGATGTATTCTTGAAGCTTTGTTTTCTGTTGGAATGTTAGTTGTCGTGTTGGAGTCACAAATGCAACTTTTCGCCTTCTACCTTCTTTCAGCATCTTGTTCAAGTGGTGCATGATGATGTAGCCTGCAACTAGAGTTTTCCCTGTGCCGGTTGGAGCTACAAATATGTAATTCTCTCCCTGGAGACCTGGACCAGCCAGTTCCTCCTGGTACCGTCTTAACCTGATACCGTTATGTAAACTAAGCTCTGTGGAGAATGCTGCTTTGGATTCTTCGGGATTGCTCAATGGTTCGTGTCGTAATGTTGCTGGTGATGTCATAGGTGTGGGAGTTTTCGTTTCACTTACTGATACAGCATCGTATTCACTTGGGGGTATGAGTGCTGTTTGTGCAACTGTGGAATTTGGCATGGCTAGTAGGGGCGTTGTTTGTGTTGAACTAGCACAAGCTGCTTGGGTCTCATGACCCTTCCTGTTTCCCTGGAAACCTGGATCAGCCAATCTATCTTGGTTCTCTCATTTTCTCTAAAACTAGAGGATGTTTCGTGGATCATTTCTGGTCCACACAATGCTGCTTTTGGGACTATGGCAAATTTCTGTTGGCTATTTACAATAGTGTTATCGGTGCCCACAATAGTTTTGGTTTCGTCCCCTCCCTGATGGTCATGAGATGGGTTATCAAGTGGGCCTGAGGGCGTTGTGGGACAAGCCGCTTCACTATGGAGAGTTGTAGGCAAACTCTGATTACCCGCATCGTTACACAGGGCTTGCGGTGGCACATTCCGGTGCGGAGGAGGACCGCTTGGGTCAACGCACTTCTCCTGTTTTATTATTGAGGCCAGGTTAGCATGTCCGACAGACCGAGCCGATAAGGCTTTGCATAATGTGGCCCACGTACAGTTCTTGCCATTTGTAAGCCATTTGAAAATCATACTGCGAAATTTATCTTCAACATCACCGTTGTTAACGTTGATAACTTCAATATGAAGCGGACTAATCTCGAGTCCCAAGCCAATGTTCTTCCACTGGAGCATGGCATCCAAGATCGCCTCTTGAATCTCGTACAAATCATCTACTCTCAAATCTTCTTTACTCGAAGCCATCACAGGGGCGTAGCCAGGATTGAATCGAGGGGAGGCAAATAAGTATTATTAATTGCGTTGCGCATATGCTCGCAATGCGCATGATTTGCGCCATGTCAGCGTTTACTCGCGATGAGCGCGGAGCCAGAGCAATAACGGCACTGCCCAGAGCGAATAATATGATAAATTATATCCCTGTGGCTATGTCCGCTCTTAGTTGATGTCACCCAGTGTTAACTGACTGCTCTCGGCTGCTAGCGCTTGTCGTTGGGTTACATACACTGCGAAAAGTGTAAGAAAATTATTTATATCGTCGGCAAAAACGGAGGAGGCAACTGCCTCCTCTGCCTCAATGCTAGCTACGCCCGTGCATCATCGCAAAAACAAACGTCCTGGTATCGGCTCTAACGTAAGCGCGTACGCGCGCAACGGTGACCACATTGCGAGTGAGAGGGTGTGTGCGGGAAAAAAATAGAGCATAATGCGCATGCGCAGTTAGTGCCAATAGCCAACCAACAAGTTTAGAGTGTCACTGGTGATGTGTCAGGAGAGATACAGGGTGTGATTGTCATGATAAGATGAGACAGGCAAAGGTGGCGACGATGGATGGTGGGAGACGGAGGATATCACAGTGGACTGTGGTAGATTGAATGAGTGTTGAAGTTCACCTGCAAAATCAGACCAGAATATGAGATAATAGTCAACATGGCCAAGAAATCAAAACATCATGTAAACAAACATCTCAAGCTTTAGCATGTAGGGAATGCACGAATGCATACATTATCATGCACATTCCCCTACAATATTTGAAAATGTTAACCCCTACCTGCACAAGTCACACCCACTACCTGCCAAAGCCCACACAACCTTCACCCTCCTTCCCATTTCCCCGCACCACTACCATCCTCCACACATGGTTTCCACCAGACTGCTCCCCGATGCCAGGAGAGTGCAGCACACATAGATGCAACATTCACGTCCTGCAATCACATTCCACTAATGACATCATATGACACACTGTAGTGCATTCTGTTCTGTCGCACTGTATAATTATTGGCTCGTCTGAATGCAGGATTCTTCACATACAGCCCATTCACTGGCACTGCACATACGGTAATGTTGTACGTGATTCTAAATCTGCGTGAAACATGCACATGAAAAATCGAACTGCTTGCTTCGCTCGCCAAAAATGTATTCGTTCTAGTATAGCTGTACTATTTTTCAGGTACATTACAGTATGCCACACTTCTTCTTAAAAGGTTTATTCTTCTACTGGTGGATGATGGGGCTGTCTGTTGGGTGACAAAGATAGACACGTGACAGTTATTGAACACGAGTTGTGGAAGACCACTGATTGATGGCAACATCAGTTGCTGGGACTCCTTCTTGAATGCCTGAGACGGAGTCAGTGTAACTATGAAAATACTGTTAGCATACACTATTGTTACGAGGAAACGATGGGTTATATAGATGCATGTGTAAACTACAACTACTCCCAGGACAGGACAGCTCTTTTTTTCAGAGAAAAAAGAACATTCGAACCCACGACACTCTGCCTTCTAGGATCAGCGCTCTACCAACTGAGCTACCAGGGCAACTCAGCTGTTAGGGGTTGTATAACTGTGATGAAATCTCTAGACAAAATACAATGTAGCTACAAGTACATGGTATGAGGGTGTGTGAGAAAGGCCCAAGTCCAGCACTGGTCCTCCCAACCAGCCTCACACAGTATTGCAGTCCTGGATCTAGACCAGTCAATTCATACTCTCCTTCACTATCCACAGACAGGGTCTCAGTGTAGGTGGAGTCATTAGCAGGACACTGCTGGTGGGCAGATATCATCACACAGCCATACCCAATCTCATAGTCCACCAGCCTCCGACCTTATCCCATCCCACTCCACACTGGCATTGGTGGGTGACTTCCTAGTGCTAGTAACATTTGGAGGGGGGCTCTGTGGAGCTATGTGAAAGAGAGATTGACCCATAAATAGAACTGAGAGAGTGAAGTAACTTACTTCCTTCCTGTGAATACAGTCTTACTTGAACTGGGTCTCCAAACCCCACAGCAGTGGAGGCCTTCACCAAAACCATGTGTCTTTCGTAAGGGTCTATTATTACAATCACATTAATTTTGTGTAAGTACGGAGGGGGGGTAGAGTGTCCGAAAGTAAATCCGATGTGTATATATAGTTAGACAGCAATTGAGTTAAATTCATGTGCAATAGGAGCCCCTTGCATTGTGGAGTAGGAAAGGAGCTATGTAAAGGACTGGGCTAGGAGTGCTCCGCCTATAAAATTTTCACCATGCCGCAATTAATTTGTGAAACCACTGGTTACATTACGGTATTTTTGCATACATAATAATATAATTTCAATAAGGAAAAATCCTGCATTCAGACGACTAAGTGGGTTCGCTTCGCTCGCCAATTACTACTAGATCTCAAGCCTATGTGTGTGTTACTAATGTTGCTGTCCACTAACCTTCAATTATTCGTCCGATTAAAAAACATGGCTCCAAAAAAGGTTGTGAGAGGCTGTGTGCTGATGCATTGTTATATGCCCTTACTAGCTGGTGTGCTTAAGTATGCTTAAATTGTGTTTATATTGGTGTCCGGTTATCAGTGGCGTAAGCTATTCCGTCTTTGAACGTCAACTTACAACATCTGTCTTGTAGCTATCGAAAATGTTTGCATAAAAGAAGCGGAATATACATAACTGGTATGTAATGACGGAGACAGGTGTGATACAGTCAGAGAAAACAAGCAGGATATGGTGCATTGTCTTTCAGTAAAGAGTATCATGAGCTATAGCTACAATGTTTTGTTGAGGCTTTGCCACCAGTGGATAAAAACAATTTATCAAAATGAAGAGGGAGTTACATTTTAAACTCCATCCATTGTTAAGAATTTTGTTTGCCACTAGTCAGCATGCTCCGTAACTTTTAAGCATCAACAACAGAACAAGATGTAGAGATGAGAGTGGAGTGGAACTTACTAATCCCTCTATCAATTATCAGTCGGTTCAAGTGAGGTGGAACTTTAGTGGAGGTTGTCTTTGTACGGTTTATGACCAAGACTTGGTATCCAGTGAGGTCTCCATTAGGGTATGTTGGAGGATCCCACGACACATCGAGAGTATTGACATCTACCACAGTCACATTTTCTACTGGACCTGGAACTAAAGTTCATGTATAAAAACCATGGAAAAGTTAATGTATAATACAGGCGAATATTATACCCGTCTCGTGAGTGGTAACACTAAGAGGAGCTGTTAGTGGTCCTTTTCCAACCGTAGTGCAGGGAGAGAGCGTCCGGTTTATTACAGCTACGGATATTCGCTGGTGCAAAAATCACCTCTGCGGCCTAGCTATATATTTTCGTGGTCGCAGTTGGAAGGCAGAACTGTCCGCGAAATACGGCGCTTGGCGTAAGCACATTGCGCATGCGTATATAAAAAATTAATAGTGCCTCACAAACATTTTCTCTTGTATACTTGGTACATAATGTTGAACGAAATGCACACAAAAGGGATGTATGGCACACAGTTGTGTTTTTTAGGGATCCTGAGTGACATCATCTTCAAACTCAGCCCAATCCTGGACACTCTGGACTTCAAACCAAATGTCCTTCCACTTCTTGAATGTCTTAGTGGACTCGCCATACTTGAAGAGAAAGCTCTCACACTTCAAAACTGGAAACTTGTATCCTGTATCCCCCCACACTGCGATTACCCCCCATTGGCTCCTGCAGTTGGGCGAGCGACAGTATATCCTGTAGGGTTTAACGAAATCGTATGAGACGTCTGGCTTGTCGTGCTCCTTCTTGTCATACATGCTGCTGAAGTCTTTACTAGGCACCACATGGTGAACGTTTTCATCACCACTGAGAGTGTAGGAAAACACATCGGAACCTCTGCAGGCGACCACTTTGCATTTCTTGCAGCGAACTTCGACTTTATCTGTGTCTGACCACTTGCTCCTGAGGGACTGCAGTAGGTGTGCTTTACGATCTCTCTCTTGAATGAAAGACTTCTGCTTTGAAGGAATCACATCTTTTAATGGCTGATCTTTTAGCGTGGCGAGAGAAGCTTCAACCAGACGCTGCTTTTCTTCCGCGACCAGGTACCGGTAGTCCTTGTTTGAGTTGGTGGAGACTACGGTGTACATTCTGCTATCCTGTGCCCTTGCCCTTCCCTTTGCCTGAACCTGAGCAATCTCGTTGGACACATTCTGATATCGGATGACAAAGTTGCACTCTGGAACGTCTAGTCCTTCCTCCAGAACTGAGGTAGAAGCCAGGAGATTGTATTTGCCTTGGCGGAACCCCTCTAGAACTCGAAGCTGCTCAGATTTTTCCATTCCTCCTGCACGGCTGTAGCCAGTGATATGAGTAGCTTGGATAGTGGGGGAGAGAGTGGGAGAGCTTTTGATCCAATTTGTGACGTATCTCGTGTGTTTGATTGATCGAACAAAGAAGATTCCTTTTGATCGAGGACACCTAGCAAACTGATCACAGAGAATGGTTTCCATGTGCTCCAGTAATGGGTTTGGGATCTTGGGTAAACGAGACAGTTTTTCCATCAAGTCCGTGTGAACGCTGCAGAGCAAATGTTCAAAATCGGTTTGATCTCTGAATTCCTCGACTTCTTCAAGCACTGACACTGCATCTTCATGTCGGAAATCACTGTAGGTCATGAGGCATTGGGAGTAGACACTCAGTCTATCGAGAACTGAAATCCTTTTTCTTTCATCTTCCTCCCTGTTCTCTGCTGCTTCTTTCTCGTTTTGTAGGCATGTGTCGTATCCTGATGAGCCCCTTGCAAGGCAAGGATTGTTGCCTATGTAATGCTCGAGTGTTTCCATAGCTGAGCAGACATGCAGAATGAACGGATCATTTGGACTTCGCTCATCGCCAACTTCAAGATATTTCCTTGGAGAATTTCGATATTTTTCAAGCTCAGCAGCATTTCTTTGAACGGTAACAATACCAGATGTGGCATCCATATTTGCACATAGGGAGAGTTGGTGTTCTATGACAGTGACAATGTTAGGTTTCCCTCTCCCTGCGCCAGGAGAAGCTGTCAATCCGACAATTTGAGGAAGTGGTGTGTCACCAAAGTGTGGGGGTAAGGTGGATGCTGGCTTTGCAAGCTTTGACCTGATGTAAAATTCCATGATGTCACTGTAATTGGAGGGGCGGCCAGCATGATGGCATTCGTCAGCAACAATGAGGGAAAAATCGGTAATTTCGATGGCTTTTGTTTTGAGCTCTCTCCGTAGCTTTCCAGCTGTGCACACAATCACATCAACTTCATCACCCTGAACTAGTGGATGCATTGGTTGACAACTTGCCCCTGTAATTTCAACCACTCTCATGCCAGGGATGTATTCTTGAAGCTTTGTCTTCTGTTGGAATGTTAGTTGTCGCGTTGGAGTCAAAAATGCAATTTTTCCCCTTCTACCTTCTTTCAGCATCTTGTTCAGGTGGTGCATGATGATGTA